ATGTGGTCGGGCGGGGGGGGGGACGGGACTGTGGACAAGCCCAGGCTGGCTTGGGGGCGTGAGAAGCAGGGGTGCAAGAACCAGTCCCCTTGTGGAGAAAAGGCACCCCCTCCGTACCTTGGTCTCTACTAATGCTGTGCCCTAGAGCTGAAGGTCCCCAGGAGCCTGTCCCGGTGGCTCCCACCGCCCAGTGACAGCTGCTCTGGCCTAGGAGGGAGGCCCCTGCTCAGCCCCCAGGGCTGCTGCCAGCCCGGGACGGCATTTCCCAGTCGTGCTGATGGTGGTAAACGGGAGAGAAAGCCTGAGCAAACCTAACAATGGAAAAAACCTGGAGCGCTGTCTCAGGCTTAATTAGTCTCTTCATAAAAGGAGTCGCTGTATCTAATTCATATCATTGAAAATGGCCCTCGCTGGCTGAATGCAGCTTGTCCAAAGCTCCGTGTCCCCGAGGAGTGGTTAGAATGAAGCCCACACAGCTGGGGTCCACCCAGGCTGCCCGAGGGGAGTCCCAGTGGGCCGCTGGCCAGCGGGCAGGCTGAGCGGCCTCGTGAAACCCTGGACCCCCGCCCCACACCAGCACCCTCTGCCGAAGAGATGGGTGCAACCACTGTGGGAGGAGGGCCCCAGTGTTTTTGGAACCAGGGGAGCTCCAGGCCCCTTTCTTGGCCTCCACCTTGGGAGACAGGAGACTCTCGTGGGAGGCGGAGGTCACCAGGTATGACCCAGGAGGACGCACCTTCTCACTGAACCCTGTGGACTCCCACTGTACAGAGGGGAAAACCGAGGCCAAGAGCAGCGGGCTCAGAGTGTGGACTAGGGGTGGGCAAGCCCTGCAGGTGCTGGTGAGCTTGGGTCTGGGACCCCTGGCCTAGGGGAATGACACGCTGGAGGCAGGAGATGAGCGAGGAAGTTTGGGGGGAGGCACCAGGAGAGACAGAGACACGGAGAGAGAGAGAGACATAGAGAAAGAGACACAGACACAGGGACAGAGGAAAAAAGAAACAGAGAAACCAACAGAGGGAAAGATAGAGAGACAGACACAGAGATAGAGAAACAGAAAAACACAGAGAGAGGGAAAGAGAGAGACATGGAGAGAGAGAGACAGAGATTGGGGCGGAGACAGAGCTGGCGCCTGGCTCGGATCAGGGCTAAGCCGGGGGGGCTTGCGGGGACCATCCTTGCTCTGGGGATCAGGGGGCATCCCCGGTCAGCCAGCTCTACTCGGGAGAAGCTGGAGGACTTGGTTTCTGCCCATCTTTGTAACCAGGACAGTGAGAGCCCACCTGCAACCCAGCTGGGGCCACACGATGGTCTAGGAGGCCGGCGGGTGCCGGGAGGTGGGGCCCCAGCGCCACAATGGGGGGGTTCGAATCCCAGCCCCTCGCTAGCAGTGCTGCCTCAGCCTGGCCAGCTCCCTCTCCAAACCTCAGTGTCCTTCATCCATCCAATGGGATGCCTGCGACCTCACCTGACCTTGACTCGCAGGAGTAGGGAGAGAATTCCAGCAAGGCCCTCTCCCAGGCTGGCTGGCACCCCGTTACCCTCTCCCCACCCCGAGCTCCGGCCAGGGGCGTGGGGCGCAGCACCGAACAGTAGCTCCTCACGAGGACCAGGGGCACCCCCAGTCAGCACCCAGAGCCGTGGCGGGGCCGGCACTGGCCTGACTCCCTGCCCCCCGTGGCTCCCCCTTCCCGCCCAGCACGCACGGGGGCTCTACCTGCCGAAATCAGCAGCGAGAGGACGGTGACCACGTTCAGGGACCGCTGGCCACAACTGGTCATCGTTTGGCTTGCATCGGGCCGTCCGGAGCTGCCTGTTTAACGAGACGGGCGAGGCCGGTGTGGGCTGCCTGTGGGGACGCGGCGCGGGCAGGGAGGCGAGTTTGCGGGGAGCAGGGCTGGGCCGCAGAGGATGGAAACACGCCATCCAATTTCCCTTCTGGAATGAACGGCCTCCCCCCACCAGTCAACTGTCATCTCCTTTTCTTTTCACAACAAAATGAGACTTAATCAAAGGACCGGTGGCTCAGGTGGTGGAAATAGGCCGAGGGCGGGGCGAGCGCGTGGGGTGAGTGGCTGCCTGACTCTCGGGGCTCCGGGACCGTTCCTGCACCTCCAGGCCTCGAAGGGCCCGGGTCTCCTGCTGTGTCTCGAGCCCTGACTTCCATGAGCCCCTCCGCACGGGTGCCGGGCACCTTCCAGGCGTCAGGGACACAGCAATGAACTAAACAGTCACAAGAACTAAATAGAAAGCGTCCCTGCCTCGGGGGGCACCCCAGTGACAGCACACGGACGGGTGAATATTTAACATGCTCCGAGGGCCCTGGGGACACACCCCGGAGAGCAGAAAGCAGGGACAAGAACAGACACCTGTCCATCCGTGTCCACAGCAGCTCCCCTCACGAGAGACAAAAGGTGGGGACAGCCCGAGTGTCCGTCGACAGATGAACGGAAAAAACCACAATGCGATCGATCCATCCGTATAGTGGAATACTATTCAGCCATGAAAAGGAAGGAAATTCTGTCACTTGCTATAATATGCATGAACCTAGAGGACGCTGTGCTCACTGAAATGGGCCAGTCACAAAAGGACACACTCTGCAGGGTTCCACTCGTATGAGGGCCCCGGAGGAGTAATTCATGGAGCGGAAGTAGGGTGGTGGTCGCCGTGTGTGTCTCTCTCTCCCTTCCACTCTTGAAAAAGCAATGGAAAAATATCCTCGGGTGAGGGGGAAAATGGGGTGATAAGCCTACAAGCCAACGAACCCCAAGGATCACCCCCAAACTCCCAGAAACTAGGGGAGAGAGGTCTGGACAGCAGCCCCGAAAGCTCCCACAGACAGCCAGCCCTGCGGACGCCTCGGCCTTGGACTCTGGCCTCGGGCTGTGAGAGCCCACATTTCTGTCGAGTGAGCCCCCCTTCTTCCGCCTGCCTGATCTGCGGATACTCTGTTCCTGCCGCTCACCCTGTCCCGAGGCACCGGCTCAGGCCCACCCCGAGCTGGGCCCCAGGGGCCCCCCATAAGCTGGCTCGTCCTCACTCTCAAAAGCTGGCGGCCTGATCGGGAGGACCAGGGACAGCAGCCAGGCCCGAGGCGGCTCTGGACCCTGCGTACCGGCAGGCAGAGCAGGAAGCCACCGGGCAACCCGGACGCTGGAGACTCTGGAGCAAGGCGACAGGGCCGGGCTCAAGGCCAAGCTCAGGAAGCTCGGGATCCGGCCCTGGCCCTGCTCTCGGGTCCCTGGTCTTCTCACCGGCAGCATGGGCAGGGTGGTGGCTCGAGGGTACCAGAGCCCATCTTCTGAAGTCTGAGCCAGAATTTAAAAAGGGGGGCAAGACCCAAGGAGAGAGCTGAGATGCCTCACCCCCTGGTTACTCCAGGTGACTGTGTCCACCCGGGCGGGGCCTCCTCTCTCCCCCACAGGCCTCTCCGCTCCCACCCGAGCCTGCTCTGCCCCACGGGCTGTAAGCTGCTTAATTGCTCTGAGCCTGGGCGTCCTCCTGGCCTCCCTCAGGGCCCTCCGGGGATGAAGGAGATTAAAACATTTGAAAGTGCTTAGGAAAGGATTTCTGCTGGGGAACCTGGGATCAGCCCTGGAAAATGCACCGAGGGGGGGCGGGAGTGACAGGTCCCCGCCAACGTGGCCCCATTCTTCAGATGGGGAAGCCGAGGCCTGGCCCACTGAGGGCAGAGATGAGTCTCCAGACTCCGGGCCCTCCTGGCCCCTGTAAGGTGGGGCTGCCCCAGTTTTGGAGTGAGGCTCTTCTGGTGGGTCTGTTTGATGAATGCCAGGGAGAACGCGGGTCCACCTCTGCCACGTGCCCAGCCCTGTCTCCTGCTGCTCCCACTCCCTACAGAACCCTGCACAAACTGAGGGTTAGGTGCAGGGGGAGGGCTGTCACTCAACCCCCTCGTTCCTGTGAGTAAATCCTGCTCCAGCGCCACCTCCAGAAAGACCGCCTGATTCCATCAGCTGAAAGAAGTTTGTCTCTCCACTGACCTATCATATTCCATCTCTTCTTTAATGTATTAATTCATTTATACTCATTGATTCTCTCAACAGCTACTCACTGACCACTGACTGTTGAAAGGGTTGAGCTGGGTCCTGGGCACTGGGAGGAAGGGAGTCCCTGCTCTCAGGTGCACTGGGCAAGGATGTCCACCAGCAGTACCTTGGGTGATTGGGCCCCATGCCCGACTCTGTCAGCCCAGGAGGGTCCTGGGCCAGGCGTGGCCAGCTGGGGATGGTGGTCCACATCGCGTGGGCTCCGAAGTCCCACGGTCTGGGTGAGAATCCTAGCCAGCTGGCACCAGCCTGGGCCCTTGGCACTGTCTGGGGACCTGAACGGCGGCCTAGGGCCTGCTGTGAGGTGACCCCGTCTTGTGGGTGTGCGGGCCCTGCACACGTGGGTGCCCCCCACCACAGCGCACCGTGGCTGCGTCTGCCCCGTGCAGTGGCGCACTCCTTGTGGTCTGCTCAGTCTCCGTGGCCACTCACAGGGCTGCTGGCCTAAGTTCAGGGTGGGGAGTCCCTGGGTGGGGGTACTGTCCACCCGGCCTTTTTAACATCCGAGGCAGCAAAGTGTGGAAGCCAGTGCCCATCCCTGGTTGGGTTAGAAACTTCACGGCTCCGTGGCTGGCGGCTGTGAGCCCGCTTAGGTCTCTGCGAGAGGGCTGGCCTCCGGAATCACGCCCTCAACGGCGCTGGCATTCACAAGGCCAAAGCCATCCCCTCCGCCCTTCCGTGGGGTCAGCAGAGGGGGGCCTGGGCTCAGGGACCTCGAGCTCGGGTGAGGAGGGCATCTCATGCTGTCAGGAATGCCCACCTGGGACGCCACAGGTGACATCTGCAGGAAGCTGCTCCAGCAGCAGCAGGCGTGCCGGCTGCAAGGGTGAGCACCCACCTCACCGCACCCTGCCAGGCCCCACTTCGGGGTGCTGCACCCTCAGAGGCAGCTGCCCGGGGCTGGCTCTTGCTGAGGTTTTCATGGGTACCGGGCTCTGGGTTTTCAGTTACCTCAGGTAATCAGCCAGTGGGGTGATCATTAAACCCCCTCCTCAGGGAGAAGGAAACTGAGGGTCCGAGAGGTGAGGTGACCTGCCCAAGGTCACACAGCCACTCGGCAGCTGAGACAGGCGGCCAGCCCCGCCTCCGCTCTTCCTCTCCCCGCAGCCCATAGGAGTCTCCGGGCCTCCCGAGCCACCAGGAAGCACGAGTACCACAGACAGATTAGATTTATCATTCAGGTTCTATTTCTTTGCAAATTGGTAAACTGCCCGCGATGGTCGCTCGTGGCCAACAATAAAACTCAAATAGCTGGAGGAACATTCTGGATGAGCGGGACTCTCCTGAGCTCCGACCGCATCCTCCATCACGAGCTGGGCAGGCATCGCTGCGGTCTGCCCCCCGGTCAGCCGGGGACTGCTGTTCCCATATTTGAGGATTATTTTTAAACATCGAATTTGGCGAGGCTGAGAGGAGAGGAAGGAGGGCATGTGAAGGGAAACAGAGTTCGGGAAGATGAATTAAATCCCGGCGGGAACAACAGATCGGTTTCAATCAGGCGGGCTGGGCCGGAGGGGCCGGCGGCGGGGGCAGGACCTGGTGCTTGCAGGAGGGGCCGCCCTGGACAACCCAGGCCCGAGAGCCGGCCCCTGGCCTAATGCCTGGAGATTCTCTGCATCCAGCCCACCCCTTCTCAGCCCGGACCAAGTCAAAGTTCCTTCACTGGCCTCAGTTTCCTCATCTGTAAAATGGGAACCAGGCCCCCACCTCACTGGGGTGAAGAAAGATGGAAAGGACCAGAAGTGCTAGCGGGCGCCGGGCACAGCCAGCCAGTGCTCCGTAAGGGGCTCTTCCCTGGAGCTGCTGTGCTCCCACTGCCCATGGTTTAGGGACCTGAGAGGCTCCCTCGTGCCCGAGTGAACGGAAGCGTGTGAGCACCACTCCCACCTGTGCAGGTCTCCCTCCCATCCTGTGCTCATGCCTCCCACCCCGCCTGCTGCTAACTGCCTCCCTGCGGGGCACAAGCTCCTCAATGGGCTGACTGCCTCTGCCCCGCCCCACCCACCATGTTTTGCACTCAGTAGGTGCTGAATAAATGTCTGCTGCCCAGAGAGTAGGAACTCTGCCAGCACTCACTGGCCCGGGATGCCAGGTTCACTTTGCTGCAAGGAGTAAGTTTGCAGACCCAGGCAGAGGCCTTGGTGACACTCCCGGATGTTACTGCCACTGCCAGGAGTGACCCTGGGCGCCAGCCTCGTGGTGGAAGAGCTCACTTCAGCCAAGAAACCCCACCTCCCGGGCTCCGGCAGGAGGGCTGAGCCTGCACCCCGGATCCCCCCTGGTCCTGGTGAAGGCCACTGCAGGGTCAGGCGGGAGGGAGCAGCCTGCGCTGCAGATGCAGTGGGGGGGGTCGGCAAGGGTGTTAGAATTGGGACCGAGAGCAGGTTACTGCCAACGTCCTCCCTGACGGGGCCTCTTCCCCCAGCGACACCCCTACCTGCCCCTGCCCGCCCCCCAGCCCAGGCTCCCGCGCCAGCCTGCTCCCTCCTGGGGAGGGGGCGCTGAGCCGAGACCTCCGCGGCCCTTGGCAACCCCGCTGCCCGGCCTCGCTCTGTTCCCCTGAACTACTGGGCTGTGCCGCAGAGATAACACAGCCCTGGAAGTCCCAGGGGCATTTTTTCCCACTGGGGAGACACAGAAACAGCCCATGAAGAATGAATGGCTTCAGGTGTCAGCAGGAAGCCTGTCAGAGGGCGCCCGGCTCCTGCCCACTCTCGGGCCTCTGTTCTGGCCCCTCCATGTGCGG